TGCAGGACAGTATCAAATGCTTCCCTCAAGTCCAGGTGAATGATGTCAGTCACTCTTCCCTTATCCACCCATGCTGTCATCCTGTTGTAGACGGCCACCAAGTTTGCCAGGCACAATTTGCACCTACTGAAGCTATGCTGACTCTCACCAACCACCTTCTCATTTTCCATGTCCCTTAGCATAGTTTCCAGGAGGATCTGTTCCACAGTCTTGCTGGGCACCAAGGTAAGACTGACTGGCCTGCAGCTTCTCAGGTTTCCCTTTTTTAAAAATGGGAGTTATATTAACCCTCTTCCAGTCAGTAGGAACTTCACCAGACTGCTGTGCCTTCTCAAATACAATGGATAATGGCTTGGAAACTTCATCTGCCAGTTCCCTCAGGACTGATTGTTCTCATTGTGAAAAACTTTCCTCCTCTTGTCCAGTCAGAATCTCCCCAGGAGTAAATTGTGCCCATTACACCCTTGTCTTTCCCATGTGACTTCTTTTAAAAAGGGAGTCTCCATCTCCTTTGTAGCCACCCTTTAAATACTGGAACACGGTGATAAGGTCTCCCCCGAGCCTTCTTTTCTCAAGACTGAACAAACCCAGCTCTCTCAGCCTTTCTGCACATGGCAGGCTTCCCAGTCCTTTGGTCACCTCTGTGGCTCTTCTCTGGACCACCTCCAGCCTGGCCACATCTTTTTTGTGTGGCAGGGACAAAAACTCAACACAGTATCCCAGATGTAGCCTGACAAGTACTGAGCGAGATAATGTCATCTTTATCTCCACTGGTGATGCCCTTGTTGATGTACCCCAGCATCCTGTTGTTTGTCTTTGCCACAGCTGCACACTGTTCACTCATATTGAGCTTGCTGTCTACCATGACGCCCAGGTCCCTCTCCACAGAGCTGCTCTCCAGCCAAGCAGATCCTAGCGTATGCTGTACTCTTGGATTGCAACTACCCTGGACCAAGCTTTCCAAGACCTTCTCATTCTCCCAACCCATACCTTTGATGCAAAGGTCCCAGCTGCATTTCTCCAGGATGTGAATCACAGATAGCCAATCTATACAATAATTGCCCTTTCCAGCTCCAGATTATGAAATATCTGCCAATTTAACAGATGTACAGCAGCACACTGTCTACTTTTTAAGTATGTACTATAAAACTGTTCAACACCACATTTTTTAATCCAACAGACAAGGATCTTAAGTCACCTAGTGCTGCTTTATGCCTTAAGTACAGCTTCAGTGTTATTTCAAGTTTCAAGAAGGAAAAAACAAAAACCAAAACCAACCACCCCACTCTCTCCAAACAGATCACTGAATATCCACAAATTAATCTATTAGCAGCATTACTTCTAGAGGTGGACCAGGTCCAAAATATGCAAGAGGAAGTTTGACAGAGTTTGAGGGAGGCAATACCAGAGAAGTAGTACTGTAATGAAAGATGATAATACAGAGCACATTCACTGATACTATACTTAGTAACTCTACAGAAGCCCGATACCTGACTCTGCTGACCTAAGGCTCCATCTCTACTAAATACAGCTTATTCCAGGTGGAAATGGCTACAAAAGCAGCCTACTCAACATCAGCACTACCTAACTTCTACCCAATATTCTTTTAGGGGATGCTTCAAAGGAAACATTTTCTAGTCTTCCGTGTAGAAAGTGAGACACAAGTTACACATACTGGATCCATAACCCCTTTCTTCTCCTCAGCACTGAAGCCTCCAATTCCACTCTAGATTATATCACAAACAGTCTAGTTGTGCCAAGAGAAACCAGACCTAAGGAAGTATCTAATCAAACATCACAAATGCGTGTTAAAGTCTGTTCCTTTTAAAGATCATTACATCCAGTGGTTTCCCCACAGCACTCCTCTTGTGGCAAAGGTCATCAACTTCAGTGAAATAGTCAGGTTCCTCTTCTACTTGGAATATGCAAAGCATAACACAAGAGAGGAACATAACCTTTCAGCCAGGCTAAGAAAAAGGGGAAAAGAAACTTAAAAGAACAACTGTCACCCTGACTATACTTCAGAAACTACCTACCTTCAAAAGGCAAATTCAAAACATGGAAATCACCACAGTGCACCACAGCACTACTGAAGGTCCCGAAAAAAAGATTCTTCTTTTCTGCTGGTGGGTTTCCCCTTAGATTGCTTCAATACAACCACTAATTACAGGCCCTGATCTTACCTCCCAGTTCTCTGCTTCAAATTGCTTCCACTTTTAAGCAGTGTCTTGTTTGTTTTTTTTTGCTTAAGAATAAAAAACAGCTTCACTCACAGTCATTAAAACATTTCCCCCTCCCTGCAATGCTAAAATTTTGCCCTAGCTTTAAACCATAGCATCACACTGTGTGAGGCCATAAAAGGGTCTCTCACAGCACTTAGCCTAAATTGTTACAAGGAAAGCAGAAAAGCAGCATAGGAAGCCAGAATCCAGTAGCTCCAGGTTCCTTACCTCTCCACCATCCGAATTTGAAAACGGTATGGGGAAAATCCAAAACGCTAAAACTAAGGACTACTAGTGCCATCTGGAGGCCATACAGAACAGCCCACCTAAAGTTTTCTGCCAACCTCTAGAGAGCAACACTCAGGCATGAGCAATGAGAGCTTGCCAGCACATGCTGCACAAACATACCAACTTTACAACCATAGAAGAAGGGAAAAGCTTTAGAATAATTAAAGATATTGGTTGGAATAAGTTTATACCTTTCATCTGAAAGCATTCAACTATAAGTTTTGCTACAAGCCTTTAGCCATAGCTGACACTACAGCTGAAATTATCTAGTGAGCAGCTGAAGTTCAGTAACAGAACTACAGCTACCCTCCAGAGTCAGGACTGTCCTTCGACCAGAGATAACACCTCATTATTCCCTCTACACCAGTCCCACAGTCATACTGGTAGAGCCCACCATATCACAGAGCAGCATTAAGATACCAAATGCCATTTAGTCTCCATATACTACCTACCTCTCACAGAGAGCTGTAAGATGGGATGCAATTTGAAGGGAAGACTAAGTACCATTAGTAATACTGTGGTGTCCTGAACATGTTTCACTTGCCATGTATGTGGACAACATGTGCTCTAGCTTTGATTATAGTTTACACAAATGGAATCTAAACACATTTAAGACTTAAGGATTTTGGAACACTGAAAAGGAATTTACAAGTACTACTGCCACCAGATGAAGAGTCCAGAAATATTAAGAACAATGCTTTTGGATGGATACCCAGAAAGAAAACTTACTTGGTTGCAGTAAGTTTCTACCTATCACTCAAAAGGATTCAACTGAAAAGTGATTTTACAGGGGCCATTTGAGTGCTCAGGTCTTAAGCCATTCCATCCACTGCTCTCCCTTTGTCCCCTCTACATCATGTCATGACAAGCCTAATGGTGCAAAGAGAAACCAGACTTAAGGAAGTATCTAATCAAACATCATGTCTATGTTTTATACAAAGTCTGTTCCTTTTAAAGATCATTACATCTTACAGTTTCCCAACAGCACTCCTTTTCTGGTTGAGACCACCAACTTTAGAAATCGGTCCTCTTCTACATGGAACACGCAAATTCAGTTGGTGAGAGGTAAGGAACGTGGAGCCACTGGATTCTCAAGCAAAACATGTTACTCTACTGTCAGAGACAAAAATGCTGTTTATCATAGACCTTGCACACTTGCCCCAGAGTAGAACATTTGCTTCTTACACGGATTGATTTTTCCAGAAGTAAACTCAGTTATAATAAGATCAGTAGAACTATCTTTAAGACATCAAGAATGGTGCAAATCGTATTTGGGAGGCCTGGTATGCACTCCCCATTTTCAGAGCATCCTAGCAAGCTACTCATATCAACGATATTGTTTCCCTGCTCACTTGCCGCTAATATTCAATATAAGCAACTAATAATTTAACTGCTGATTCCCAAGAGTGAAGTCTTACATGCCAGGCACATTTAAGGCTCCTTTTCTAAAGTGAATATAGTTGTCAAGTTTTCCACTAATCAAGATGAGCTACCCCTTCCTGTCCCTCTTTAGGGGAACAATCTGTTCACATTGTCCTTGCAGGCAGGGGCACAGCACAACACAGCTGAAGAGGATACGCTTGTCATTTTAAAGGAGGATATTTCTTCTAGGATCATTATTAATATACCCTTTCGGATCCAATATCCACTTTGGATAAAGGGAAGTTGGATTTAGTATCTGCCTAAGTTAGAGCCATGCAGGCTTGAAACGCAGAGATATTCTTTCCGGTATGCCAGATACGCGTGTAAGATTCAGCGTTGCTTAAAACTGTTGCAGGCAGTTCTATGATGATCTCTTCTCACTACTACAGTTAAATTTCTGATCTGCTGGAAATTCAGAGAGGTGATTATTTCAAATGTACTAGTTACTATAGACAGGTATTAAGTTAAACTTCTTTATTTTTGGTAGGTAAGTGTTCCTCCTGGGAATCTTAAGTATCTTTCACAACTTGCATGCAAAAGGAAATTGACATCTTGCCAGATAAGAACAGTGAACTAGTCTAAACCCACTTACTCTACACTGTAGAAAACACAAACACTGACCTAAAATTTAGAAGAACAATTGGAAGTAGTAAAACAAAAGCAAATATAAACAACAGGTCTCCAACAGCTTTTGTCTTTAGGATTAAGCAGGAATTGAGAATGTTTAGATTCCCTGCACCAGGGAGGATGGATAATTGGCACAAAACCACCAAGAGTCCAAAGACGTTTCAGACAGAACCCGACCTTGAAAGTGAAAACACCAATCCTAGTGTGTGTGGCTGTTTAACATTTAAGAGTTGAAAGCTTGCTTCATTTATTATATATGTAATAAAGTCCCTCACTTAAAGATTCTATAGTCTATATAAAGTTATGGACACAGCATGATGAGGTATCATATTTAATCTTCGCAGAACTCACCAACTGGCATTTCCCTCATTTGCTATTGTGCCTAGATTACAGAGGCAAGCCAAAACATCTCTGGATCACAGAGAAAGAAGTTTTCCCTACCTGGCCAATCCTTCCTCATAGAGATAGATGACAAGTGGATCATAGGATGTAACCAGAACATAGAGGCGCACATCAAACTTGAAATCTGAAATACAGTTGTTAAGAGGCAGTGACTGTTAAGTATCTTTCAGACATCGTATCCAGATAAGGAATTTCAACAGACCCCGAGAGCAATACGCCATTATCTGCTATTGGCATAGGTGCCTGAAGCTTTCCCAGCTGAAAACCTTCTAGATTTTAAGAAATTTTCTAGTTACATTTTTCCAGTACCAGAGACAGACCAGCCAATTATTCAACTAAGTTCCCGCAAAGGTTTCAATGATTCTCATGTGTGGGGTTGGGGGAAGAGAGAAAAGCAATTCCTAAACATACCATCTATGAGTAAGGGGTTGCTGATATAACGAGAAACCAGGATGTTGTCTTCCAGGACAATCTGGCTTGGCTGCAGAAGAACAAAGAATACAAGAGTGAAAAAACGGGAGACTTAAGGAATAAGTCAACTAGATCAAAACCACTATTTTTTCCAGCCTTTCCCTCCTAAAACCATTCTGTGTCAACAACTACATCTGAAGGGGGAGGAACCAAAACCAAATGAACACACACCATTGTCAGTCACAACATACTTAAGGTAATTAGATCCAAACCAGAAGTCCAGGAATGATTACATTGCTGGAGAAAACAAAAACAAAACAAAACAAAAAAATGCCATTGAGTCTTCCAGTTCAGTGCTCCTTAGGGTAGGATACAGATTTAACAGCCATAAGGCACTGACTATGAAATAGGCAGGAAAACACGCACATCTAAGAAGTAACTGTCACTCAGTTTGCTTCTCAAGTGTTTAACAAAAAAAAATAGCAGAGGGGTTAAAAAGACACTGGAAGGATACAGCTGGTGAGCAATCACATGGAAAAAATTAAAAAAAAAGGTCTCCTCAACTTGTGATCTTTACAGCTAGATCCTGCGCTGGTACCCAACCTTTTTGTCTACATGAGTAAATACCTTCTTATGGGGTTAATGATACCAGGAAGATGCTACCCTTGTAGCTCAAAACAGAAAGCTTTATCTATGACATACATTGCAAAGTCATGAGATCTGTTGAAAAAAGCTTTTACTTTTTGCTATTTATAAGACTTTCTCTTGTAACCAGTTTCAACTACTCATGCAAGCAGTTTCTTGCAAAACATGTGGCTCTTTCACAAGCTGAAGAGAGCCCCATCATCCTGCCTTTATCCGATTTTGCATGTGTTCACCCCATCACCAGCAGAAGCTGGTGCTCACCTCATCGTAAGAAGGAAGCCTAGACATACAGAGTGCACATATACAACATGAGGGAAAAAAAGTCAACTTCCCTCAGCACATCACACAACAGTGACAGACTGATTTATTATGGATCAGAGAAATCCAAAGCTTTGCTATTTTTTTTGAGGTTTCTATTGTTGTTTTTAAACACTTTTGTGATGAGACTCTAGAAGACACTTACTTAATGGCATCACACTTGAAGGAGATTTAAATTACTGGGCCAAACCAGCTGAAGTGTTTCTGGAACAGATATACACAAAGGGAGATTGGTCCCAGAAGTGTCTTTTCCCCAGTTCATGGCCAACTGCCATATAAGCCTGAGCTCATTCCTCTCTTTCAAGCAAAGAAAAAGCTGAGCACAGCTCTGGAAATACTTACCTCATACACTTGGCAAATTTTATGGGAAATGATCCAAGTAGGGAACAGATGAGGCAGCATGACCCCTTCAGTACAGAGAAGGCTAAAGGGGTTCAAGTGAGTGAAACCAAAATGACTCACCAGTCAGTTTTGCTGCTGAGAATATTTATTGGAAACCCCTCCTCCCCAGATGTACGTGGTACCTATGACAACTTAACTTCCTGGAATGCCCAAGAAGGGCAAAAGACACTATAACCAGCACATTGAATTCAAAGAACCACTCCCATTACACCTCAGTAAGGGCACACAGCTCTAAGATTGATACACTAATATTTCATTTTAAGGTTTCACTTTTATCTGGTCTTTGCCAGGGGGAAGAGGGAGACAAGGGGACTGTTTATGTCACACAGGGAAACAACTAAGGAGAGTTCTGGGAATCTTCTCAAGGCCAACCTATACTGTCAGCCACAAGGAAAACACGAAGAAGCACAGCTTCCCAAAAAACTGTCCCAGGATGCATGAACTTGCTCTTAATAAGCTAAGACTTGAAAGTGGGTTGCATGGTAACAGCAGAATATAAAGAAATAGACTGCATTTGGTTACACAACATCAGAGGAGGAATTTGCCAGCTGCTGCTCACCAATGTATGTGGTGAAATCCAGGGCAGGGCCAGTGTCTGGTTAGATGTTTCTGTACCCCTTGCCTGGAAGCTGGTATAGTTCCACAGACAGTTTTACTAAAGAACAGTCCTTTTGCTGAACACTTACATTGTTTATGAGGTAGACACCTCGACCCCTGGAAGAGGCCACAGGCTTCACTATCCACGGACCTCTGTCCTTAGAATAGGTACCTGGTTAAAAGAAAACAGCACTAGTCTGAAACATTTTCCATTTTGCTTATTTACAGAAGAGCAAGAACCAAGAATGCTGTCTATAGCAAAAGCTTCAGAAAACTCCACAAGGAAATTAAAGTCTACTTTTTTTGCTGTTCTATTTTACCTCCTGGGATTCACTGCAATTATTACTGTCCATCCCTAAAGTCCCTCCTGCTGCATCAATAGATTAATTTTCTTGCTATATACCTCCCCTTTTGGCATTTCTCTCTTCAGAAATCCCACATATTAGGGTTATTGTGAAGTTGATCACCAACAATAATGTGCACATAAAGGCTCAATTCTGGACCCTTAAGCCCACATCAGCTTCTTGAGGACTTATGCAGACACAAAGAAAGCAGTAGAGTAGAAATTATACAAAGAAATTGTGGGCCTTTTCCACTGTTTTTCTAGCTTCCTCTAATTTTGTTGCCTTAACCACTGGCATGCTCAACAGGCTAGGGTATTAAAAATAATTCCCTTTATCCTACCCATTTATCTTGCTTTAGGTCAACCATTCACTTACTGCAGAAGTTCTGGTACTCTGTTGGAAGGATAAAGGTCCGAGGTAAGATATGGAATGTTTTGAATCCATGGGCCAGCTGCATACGACTGACATTCTTGTACAGTCTGTCCTTCCGTGTCAGTTCATATGACCTGAAGTCCCAAAACAAGAGACTGTATTTCCCTGATACACAAAAAAAAAACAACCCCACACACATTACAGCAACCTTTTGTCCTAGTTACTAAAGCATTTGTAGCCCTGTCAGATGTCTAAACCCTAACCTGCAACTACTCTTCAGTTTTATTGTCTCTATCCTGTGGCCATATTAATATGCACTCCCAAGACAGACTGAAGCACAGCAAACTGTTATAATAGTGTTTGTAAACTTCTGCAGCTGACATATGACTATTTCTATAGCTAAGAACCCAAAGCCCAAAATACTTATACCACCAAATACAGAAAAAGGAAAAACAAACAAACATAAAAACCAAACAAATAAAAACCCCAAATCCTGTATTTGGGCTACAGACAGGCACTTCAACTCTCATACTATCTCCCCAAAAAGTCCATTTAGAATGAAGATAGCATGTGGCAGAGGCCCAGTGCATTGGGACTTTCTGGTAATAGGCATTCTCTATTTTTTTATTTTTTTTTTAGATCTATCCATGTCCAGATTTTTGCAGGCCATCACAAAGGTGTTCAGCAAAACAAGATATCAAGGCCTTACCTAGGGAAGTGATTGACTTTCTGAATATCTGTCAGAGAACGCAGCAAGTAGGTCTTCAAGTGTGATCCTGTCCACATGAGATTGTAATCGCTGCTACCAGGTTGCGCCTAAAAAGCGACACAAAACCACCACAGACGTAAGAACACAGAACTGATGAAGAGCACCAACACTTGTTCTATATACTGTGACCTTATGTCTACAACCAAGGCAATTCTTGTTTCAGACAAAACTCCTTTATCCATCTCCAGTATTAGGGCAACTCTAGCCAGACCCTTGTCCAGCAATCCTGGGAAATAACCATGTCATATTTTTCTAAACAAACATGTGGGTTTGCTCTTTTTACAGACTGTTTAAACACAAACCCTAAAGCACTTTAGATTTCTTCAGGAAACTTGTGAGACCAACACCTTAACTTGGTTTTATTCAGAAGAAAATCCACCACACATACACATCTTTCACTGTCATTAGCTGCACATGGGACATTCTTTAAAGCAAGACATGTGCTAGAAGAGAAACGTAAAACACTACACCAATGCTTATGTGAGCTTGCAAAAGCTGAGATTAGATCCTTCGGATCTTCCCAAGTGTGTGAGATGATGCTTTAAAAGCAAGGAGAAAAGACACATGGCCAAACTTCAGCATCTCTTTTTTTTCCTAATTTTGCAGGCTTAAGGCTAAAGGGTACTTCTTTAGGAGACCAAATCACAATATATTGCCTGTCTGACTGGTAGAGTAACACAGCAACTTCTAATACCCTAATCAGAGCTGACATTTGCTGCACTTACCTCATGGAATCCATGGGCAGTCAGAATGCTTCGAACCAGACGGCCATCTGCTTGCACAATCTTATAGGACAAGTGGTAGCGTTCTGTTAAGAGGGCAAGAGACACAATATTAGAGTCTGCACCTGTGCCTATACTACCTGATCAGTATTAAAAATAAAATACAGGACATCCTAACAAATGCCTAGTTTGGGTTTGTTTTAAACAGCTCTTTATAGGCTGCTCTATAACACTCCAAACATAATTTCAGCATTTTCTCTATTCGAGTTTTGCATTCCTACCTGAAAGCAATCATCCCACATGCCCCTCACTGACATGGTTAGCTATATGTTCACTTTTTAGATCTTGAAAACTCAATATAAACCACTGAATTCTTGTTCATATCTCATTCACCTGTACTGATCTACCAATAAATAAGCTACAAAAAGAAAAAAAGAAAAGCAGGAAATAAGGAAAGGACAAGGAAAGAAAAAGAGAAAAATTACTATCCAAGTAGAAGGTCATAAAAGCAAAAGCAGTAAGCAGCATTGGAGGTGGAAAATTAACAGAAAGCAAGCAGCAAGACCATAGGCCAGCTGCCATACAAAAGGATGTGGCAACACATAAAAGTTCAAAGAAAACAGAGGAAGAAATTGCAGTGGTAGAATCACATGGAGAAGGCACTTTAAATTGGTTCAAACTGAGAATAGAAAAATGAAGATTAAATTAAACCTCAGGAAATATAATCCACCTATTAAAGTAAGACTAAAGAAGAGAGTAAAAAGTATCATAATCTGGGATTGGACTAAGCTCAAGGGAATTTAACAAGTTGCACTATTCAGCAGTAGACTTAAGCCATGAAAAGCCTCTATCTCCTGAGAAAAATCAGACACACTGCACTCCAGTCAAGATACCAGTTACAATTACCATCAGCTTTTCTGTCACCATTCAAGTATGTATTTAATTCACATCAAAAGGATCAGGAGTTTCCACACACAAACCACCTTTCTCCACCCCTTACCCCAATAAGCCAGAAGCATTTCTGCTTGAATAAGATATTAGAAATGAGGGCACCAATTACCTAAGAAAGGGAGAAGCAAGAGAAGAAAAGCAGTGTCATCATCTTCACAAAAATAAGCTGAGTAGACTTAAGCTTTCCTCCAACTCAGCACATCCAGAATGAGCTCCCAGCTGTACACACCCGCAAAGTACTAACTCTTACAATCCAGTGACTGTTTATAACAACTCTCTCTTAGAGACTCTCCCTTTTTTGACACTAGATGGGTTTGGTCTCCTCACCTAAATGCTGCCAGAGCAGCAATCATTTTTCTTATAGCCTTACCCACAGTTGTGAGGCTGTAGGTGCAGAGATTTGTTACCAAAGCTCACTACTGTTATTATCACCATGGGACCGGCTGCTTCATATACCAGTGAAAACCACTCAGAACTCATTGCAATGAGTAAGTTCTTTGCTACAGAGTAGCAAATTTCATCAGTTCTACCATGGCCTCCAAGTTCAAACTGCAAGCAAGCAGTTTCAACTCAAAACACATCAGGACCCAGTGGAGGGGCAAATATAGACACACCTTTACCAGGCGGTCAAGTATTTCTGACCACCTCAGTGCTCAAAGACAAGAAAGGACTGTCATTTCCTTCCTACCATGTCCTCTTCCCCACCATAAAGAGAAGCAAATATCAAGGTAAGACTTCCACCTCATGCCTTCAAGCCAACAGCGGGTACATAGTGGCACCTACCTCCAATTAGGCGGAGGTAGCTGTCATTGGTCAGAATGGCTTCTGCATGAAACACCAAGATGGGGATCCGCCTGCAGCCACCACCAGTCCACTTGATACACGGATGATCTCTGAAACAGCAAGACAGTCAGTATAAGCAATTGCTGAATCTCACACACAGTAGTTACTTACAATGAGGACACAGCAGTTCTCCACTCTTGCCCATGCTTGCTCCCCTAGCCTGTGGGCAGGACACAGGCAAACACACTGTATGAAAATAGCGGAAGATTGGTGAGGAAGATTGTAAACATGCTTAAGTGACTTGCAGCTGGGGTGCAGAAAAACACATGCCACCCTAATTCTTGTCTATCCTTGTGCGTTTGACAAGTAGAACATCTGTGTTCAGATAACATAGGCCTGTGATAGACTTAGAGGCACCCTATCAAACGTGGCTAGGATTCCTGCCCTGCTGTGGGAAAGATCAAAGCACAGTGCCAAAAACTACATCTGCGTGAATCCGTGGAAAACAGGCACAAACAGCAGGTTCAGCAATCCTCTAGCAAGGACTGAGTTCTGTGGTGCCTGTGTTCCCACTTGTATGCTTCTGCCTGGGTGCTGCTTCAAGGATCCCCCAGTTGGTGAGGTAATGAAAATAAACTTACTCTTTGCATTTCAGCTGTGGCTTTGTGGTTGTTCCTGTGCCCTGCCTGGGCTGACTCACACACACAAGCTAGGCACCCTTGATACTCAACTATAAAGGGAATCTTCCTTCTTTTGGGTTAGTCTTGCCAGTCTAAGCCAGAGCGCTGTTTAATTTGTATTTATTTTACTGAGTATAACTCGTAAGAAAACCCATGAGTTTTCACAGCTACAGTTCTTTGGATCTGTAGCCTGAAAACAGGATCTATAATTCTGGGTAAAACATAATTGATGGTATTCACAACCAGATCTTACAACGCAGGTTCCAGTCTCCAATTTAAGAGCTGCAAATCAGTGTATGCTCCCTGGTTGTAATCCTGGACTCTAAAGCACACAAAAAGGCACTCATGCAGAGTTTGAGAGACTAGAACAATAAGTAAACTTCTGTGTTCTTCCTTTTTAATTTCTGCCAGATGCAGTAGAATGCAAGCTCAGAGTTCAACAATGACACCCCCAGCTAGTCGCTACAGGTTCTGAGATACAGTGATCAGTTCCATCCAAAATAACAAGACTATATTGGGAATTATAATCTCCTCAGAGAAATTAAGGACACACACACAAAAAAAAAAAAAAAAAACAACACAAAACACCAACACAATCTGTTACATAAAATCCTAAAGTCACAGAAAGAAAAACTGTCAACCTCCCTAAGCAATTAAAACCCTGAATGCTTATTATTCACATAATATCTACAACAGACAAGAAGAAATAAAAAGACCGGCAGTGATATATAGAAGCCTTTATCTATAGAAAGTGCAAAATCACTACCAAAGGTTTGGAGAAACTACAAAAGACAAAATACTTCCCACACTTAGAACACAGGAACATATGTAAAAGGGCAACTTTCTGATGCTAGGGCAATTAAGTACTCTTATGTGTAACCTTGGTCATCCTAACCAAGTTATTACCATTATCACCCAGACAGATTAATTTCACAGCACTGCTTTCACCACCCCTACAGAAAAAATAAAATTAAAAAAATTCACTACAGGGATTTAAGTGGCTGCTCAGGCTGGAAGGGACCCAAGAAGCTTCCAGAATTTACAGTACAGGCCAGAGCCTTATATAAGTTGGAAATGAGCTGAAGCGACAAGATGGGAGTTTATGTTAAGCCCGTCCTGAGGATTTGCAGTAAGGCTCAATCCTCCAGGTGACAGTCATTCATCCCTAGCATGACCCTTTGTCACTTGATGCAGATACACTTTTGCAGCTACAGTCTAGATGAATGTCAGTTCTGGACTTTTCCATCCACGAGGGTCTGGCAGGTCTGAACCAACTACTTGGTATGAAACAACATTCCTCTAACTGCCTTAAGTCACTGCAGTTTGCAACTGAGCACTCAGTAATGATATGCACCCAAAAGAAAGCAAACAGGACATTTGAAAGTATGTCCAGCTGAAAGAGAAAAGAAATTCCACCCCGGAAAAGAATAAGTAAAGATAAAAGAAGTTACTAAACTAAAGAACAAACACACACTAGTAAGTAATAAGAACTCTAGGAGTTGATTTTTTAACAAGACAGTTTTTGAAAAAGGACACAAAACATTGCATATCAGTCTACTGTAGAAAGTAAAAACTAAAAGAAAAAAAAAGAAAAAAAAAAGAAGGCGGCATTTATTTCCTTCATGCTCTTAAACATCATCAAGAAAGATTCCAGCTTCTGAACACAAGATGACATCAATGAAACTACAAGACTTTAGAGTAGCCAAGGAAGAGCCGCTCCTCTAACCCTGATGAATAGATATTGGTCCTTTAGGTTACAAACGTAGGTAGCCTGCCCACAGACTTCAGACCCAAACTACCTATCTTTTGCTTTATAGATAGGAGGAGGGTAAGGAATGTAACTGTCTTTTCAGATTAGTACAAATCAGGAAGCACAGGGAGATAGAAACAATTAAGCAGTTTTTTTCCTACTTACTCCAACTCATCAATGACATCTTCTTCCTCCTCCTCCTGCTGTAAGGATAAGCCAGTTTCCTCCAGACCTCGAGCAATCCCAGCTGGCATTTCCTCTGCGAGTTTTCATACAGCCCAGTCCCGGTAGCCTCTGAGACTCCTTCCTACAGATTCAAGGGATCTTGCAGGAGCAGTTGCCTGCAGGAAGGATTAAAAGCATGAATGCACAGCTGAACAGGACAGCAAGACAAATAAGGTAACTTAACTCCCACCTCCTGTCAATACATATTTCTCACAGAACTATCACCAAGCTTGTTACAGGCAGTAAATCACCTGCTAGCCAGACGAGTGTAGGAAGAAGCATCACCTTCCACCAGATTTTTCCCCACCTGCCAGTGAGAGTCATTCAGGCGCTTACCGCTGAAGCGCTTCCCTGCTCTGCCCGCGGCCAGGGTCGCACCAGGCTGCCCAAGCCCGCCCAGCCCAGCCTAGCGGGAGACGCCCGCTCCTCCCTGGCGCCGAGAAAACGCCCAAGGCCAGCGCCTCTACCAGCACGGGAACAGCTCTGCGGCCCGGCCGCTTCCGGAGGGGAGACTGAGGCCCGGCCTACACCGCGGCGGGCAGGCCCGGTGACCTCCGGCGGCCCCACGAGAAACATGAACCACGGGGAGCGCCGAAGGGGCCACAACTCCTGCTCCGGTACCAATGGCCCCTCGCCCTAAGGCGGCAATTGCCTCAGCTCACCCGTACCTGTTCCCCCATTACCAGGGGCAGGGGGGCGCCGGGCCGGGTAACCGGGCACAGCGGCCCAACGGCAACAGCCCCTCCCTCCGCTTCCCCGTTACTACAACAACCTACTGGCTGACCCCGCCTCTTCCCACTGCGCATGCGCCGATCACCGGCAGCCAGTGCGCAGACGCAACAGTCCTGCCACCCCCCCCCGCCTACCGCCGCAGTACCGCCTCCTTTCTCACGTGGTGGGCGGGGCCAATGGGGCGGGCCCGCCTCCCGGGCGCTGAGCGATTTGATTGGCGGTGGAAGCCCCCTCGTCAGCGTAGTGCGCGGGTGGAGTGGCGCGCCCGAGGCCAATGGGAGTGCTGGATGGTGGCGTGCGCTACTGGAGGGGGCGGGGCTGCGGTAGTGGGTGGTGTGGTCCTTGCGGGTTGGGGTCGTGTCGGCGGGGAGGATGAGTCGGTTTTTGAATGTGCTGCGCAGTTGGCTCGTGATGGTGTCGGTCATCGCCGCCGGGAACACGCTGCAGAGCTTCCGCGACCACGGCTTCCTCTCGGAGAAGCTGTACACCGCCAGCCCCGGGCTCGGTAAGAGCCGCGCCGGCGGCTGCTGTCGGGCCCGGGAGCGTTCTGCTCCCCGGCGGGGGTGGGGACGGCGGGCGGGGCTGTGCGTGGTTTCCATGTGCTCTCCCCTCTTCGCGCAGTGAACGGGCTCCAGGCTCGGACTTTCGGCGTCTGGACCCTGCTGTCGTCGGTGATCCGCTGTCTCTGCGCCATCGACATCCGCAATAGGACGTACGTAATGGAGTAAAGGAGCACCGGGAAATCCTTGTGTTTGTTTGCTAGTCACAGCCTCAGCAGTAGCTCACAGGGCGGCGCGGAGGATATTGGGATCAGAAGCTGCGCCTCATCTTCCTGTAGGGTTGAAAGCGTTCTCCCAAAAAAGCCTAAATAGCAGTGTGGGATTTGTATGTTAACTCGTGTTCCCTCCTGACTCTGAGGGGAGAGCCTGCCCATTTAAGTTCTGTTTCTTAGCTCAGGCAGAAATTGATAGATCTGAGAACTTAGGTCAAACATTTCTGAGCTCCAGCTTGGAAAGCATCTTCTGATGGCATTGCTGCCTTGATGACATAAAGCAATTGCTAATGCTGTGGTCTGACTGATAGTGCTTCTTCTGTGACAGCCCAGCTAAAGACTGTGGCAGGTTGAGATGCCCCTTGAAGAAGTCTTAACCCGCCACCTTCTTCCACATGCTCTTACTGGGGTCTAAGGACAAGGCCTGAGGCACACCCTGATGCTGTGGTGGGAGGAAGGCCATTTCTCCCTGTGTTAACAGAGGTATTTCTGAGAGGAGTTTCCAAGCAGGCTGACTGTAGGTCTGTGCTAGACAAAGCCTGAGCTGGAAGGTGCTTAGACTCACTGTCTAAGACTTCTAGACTCACTGTCTAGACTTCTGTCACTGCCTCCTCCAACCCCGCAGCAGAAGTAACTGTTAACATGGCAGCATGTCCTTGGGTTGTCTAGGTTTGTCTGTGGTAGGGAGGTGGAGGGACTCAATTATCTGTTTTTAGGGGGTGATGACAATGCCAATTCCCAGTGAGCCAGTTGTTTCTTAAGATTCTTTACCTTGTCTCTTTTGGACCTGCTCCTTTTAACAGCTGTGGCCCCTAGAGGGTAGCAGAACATAAGTGGGAAATCGTGTTGGGTGATGCAGCCTGGAGTCAGCCCAGTCCCGCCACCCTGGTTCTCAGTTCATCCAATTCTCACCTTTTTGTGTGCACACATGCTTCTCACTTCACCAGTACCATATCCTTGCCCTCCCCTCTTCACCTGCCTTCAAGGCAGATAACGCCTGTGATTTTTCAATGCACCACACTGATTTCAATGAACACTGCCTTGTTCTCTCAGTTGTTGCCCAAGCAGCTTTTGCACCTCACTAGGCAAGGGACCCTAAGCGCCCTGTGTGCTTCCCCAGTGGGGACAGATGGGGAGGCATGCAGGTATGCCTTTTTTCTACTCAGCCATGCTCATGTTCATACTATGGGCTACATGATAACTTACTTCTTTCTGCTCTCCAACAGCCTCTATTACATCACACTCTTCACCTTCTTTTTGGCCCTTGTTCACTTCCTTTCTGAGGTCTTCATTTACCATACTGCAGCCTTGACAATTGGAATTATGGCACCCCTCATGGTAGCAAGTAAGTAGAGCTCTGCATCCTCTCCCCACAAACTCTCCTTGGAGCTGTGACACGACACACCCCACCCCACACCCCCACCCCGAAAAAAAGTCTCTATGGGGCTATAACATAAGATCAGGGAGGCAGTGGTGGGAGAAAATACCTCATCCCCTGGACAAACTCATGCAAACTCATCCTGTATCTCTGTCACAGGTTTCTCTGTTTTGGGGATGTTGATTGGACTGCAGTACCTGGAGGTAGAAGCACTGTCACAGAACAAGAAGAAAAACTGAAGCTGAGGGCTGGGTGTAGGTCAGCGTTGTCTCCTATCTTCACTGCCAAACTTCCACTAAAACTCTAGGACACCAGGCCCACTAGTGGATCAATGTTGGACTGTCAATGTCTCACCATTACTAAGTTTTTTTTCTTGTCCAAGGAACATTTCAACTGACTGATGTCAAAAGAGCAAGTCCCAGAGGAGTTTGTGTTAAAGCTTGCAGGGGCCACTTAGTGACTGCCTCCCTGGAGAGCAGGCAATGTCTCAGGCACGCCCAGTGCATTAAGGACTTCTCTCCCAGTGTGCGGAGGAGGTGTACAGCAACCCAGGATCAACTGAACTCTTCAGACCACAGAGAGAACACGTACTGCCCCTGGCACTGCTATGTAACTTGCATGTGTGTGTTCTTCAGGGGACTTTCTAATAAACGGCAGAAAACTACAAAATGCTATGTCTGTCTTTCTGCTACACAGCAGCAGGTAGAGGATGTACAACCTCAGAGCAAACAGCAAGTTCTTTGAAGTAAACCCTTTCCCTGACTCCTTCCCACAGAGTTGCAGGTCTGACTGTTCACATCACACACAGGCACACACTTCTGCAGCATACTGGTGACAGCAAACTGCATGTACCTGAGCTACCTTTGCTGTGAGTTAGAACTACATAAGACAGAGAAAACAGGATCAGGTTGCTTAGATCTGGACGAAATAATGCCCAAAGCAGATGGGCAGTGCACAGAAGGCAGGAAGGAAGCAACAGGATCTCCTAGCTGGGAGGACAGTGCATGTGCAGAAGAAAAACACAGAAGGGAGGTAAAGCACAACGGTAGCATTGGGCAGAAAAATTCCTTTTCCATTCTGTGGAACATTTCATGCTATTAAAAGAGCCAGATGTAGACTGTTTCAACTATTTAATATGTGTCAGATTTCATTGTACACTTCAAATGTTTATATATAAACACTTCTATTAAAAAGCAATTTTAGACCCTCACCCTCAATCCCAAACTATGAAATAGGAACTGAATCTTTTCACATGTCAAAGACTGCAGTTTCACACCCACACACAAAATAGAAGTTTTGTCAAAAATGGTATGTCAGAGAGGACTATTTTGATCTGTTCCACCTGGTTGTGGCTTTTGATTTAAGGAGTATAAGGACACTTGATGTCTCCACCAGTGGAGGAATGCTAGAAAAGAAGGAGGATCTGTATTTGTGTTAAGAGAAACAGCAGCATACAAAGTGGCAGTGTTTTATGAGACACAAATGCTGGTAAGAGGGCTTCTCCTGTTCTCTTATTACAAAGTGGGAAGCTTCCACACTGGAGCAGATCTGGATTTCAATCATACTCACCCTTGGCTGGTTATCTCAATATAACACTTTACAAAAGTTTGTAGCACTGAAACATGCAAAAGGCACTTTATCATTAAGGACAAAGTCCTCAGCCCAGGGAGCTTGTGGTTTGACTCATTCCTGTGGCTAGTGTAGTGATGAACTAGGCTTAGGCTACAGCTTCAACATAAGCTGCAGAACTAGTCCTTGCCTCGAGGTAGGAGGATTGGTGTCTCTTAATTATTCCTAACATATAGGAACATCAGGGCAACCTCAGTGAATTCCAGGCAGAGGTTTATCCACGAGAGTATTTCATCTGGGACAGCCACGTAATAAAACCAGAGCCAGCACTTGCTGATGATGTGCTGAGGCCTCTACCATCACCTGTGCAACACAGAGCATCACAGGTACCAAAGCAGAGCAATCCCTCATCCTGAGAGACAGTTGAAAGCTTTTCTAGGGCTGCTCACAGAGCAAGCATGGTCCCGCTTCCACACTTCATCACAGCTTGCCTGTGAGAGGAAAGACAGACACATCCAGGGTGCCACCCTCATGTTCTCAGGGATAGCCTGGACCTATTCTCAGCTCTGCTTTTTCAAGCATACACGTTGGAGTAGGGGGGAAAACAGTGGGTTTTCCCAACTTTTCTTCCCAAGCAGGGAAGTCTCTAGAAGAGCAGCATGCAGACATGTAACTGAAGAGAGCAACTACCTTCTTGTTTTGCTCTTTCACACTCTTCACTGGGCTCCTATCCTGAGGCTTCCCCCCCCACTCCCCAACAGCTCCTTCCATGGTCTGCATGTAACAGGAGGATGGGTTTGGTAGCAAAGATGGGAATGAGGGGGACTGCATTCCCCTGAATGGAGCCACCCCTCCATTCACAGCTTTGATTCCTCAAGGACTATGGCATCAGTGCAGGCTTCTGGCATCACTTTCTGCAAGTCAAACAGAAACAACATGGTTAGGATCCTGGCTGGCCAGGCCCAGGCTTCAGAGAGACCAGCTGGCCAGAAGCTGGCTAATTCACAACTCCCTGCTCACGTGCAGAAATCCCCAACCAAAAATCACCATCCTGAGAATGCACCTGGTTCCCTTCTCCAGACCCTTCTATTGCCCAGACATGGGGCACTGGGGCAGCAGGGCAGAGCAAGGGTCCCACTTCCCTTAAGCTACTTGGTGTAGTCCTCAGACCACAGTTAATTCACAGAAGCAGTACAGGCCCAGGGGTCAGCCCTACAGCCAGCTCACTGAACGTATTTCACTGTGGCACAAGATCAGCCTCGAAGCTTCAGGGCCAGTTCACTGGGCAAGGAAAGGAACTGGGAACTCCTTCATGTCATGGGGCAACACAGTGTCTATGCAAGCACCACAGAGAACCTGTATGCCATGCTCCCTCAGGAGGCTCAGCACAGCAACTAGCTCCACTCTGTCCTTACTCTGGCTTGCCTGAAGGTCTCTACCTCCCAGATTGCTGGCTCTGCTCATTTTCAGGTCTTCTTGTCCCCACCCCTCATTCAGGGCTGCCACCCTCTGCCCCACATCTTCCCTGTCCCCAGCTTGGATTTATGGCTGAAATAATTCCAGAGTGGTGCAGATAAGGCCTTCAAAGTTCACTACTTGTATCTTAAAGAGCCATAAGAAGTAAGAGCCAAACATACACAAGTTTGGGGTTTTTCCTGCATAAATACTAGAGAAGAATTAGCCTGATTACTTGAACCCTCCTAAAATTTCTTCCCTTAAGATAGAGTGAGCTGTAATTTCCCAGAGGAGGAGCAAGGACAACTGAAACTGCTGCCCAACTACCACCCTATCCTGGGCTGCATGAAACAGCCGAACTTTTACAACTCCAGTTCAGCCTTCCTGGCTGTAGCTTGATGAGCTCTTCTACTGAGCCATTCTGGGGTGTGTCAGGATTAAACCCGAGACTTCTTCCTCCAGAGGATTTCTGCTTACAGTGAGACACCCCACTTGTCACTGATTCAGAAGACAGCATGCAGACTTGCAAGGGCAAATATGGCATATCCCATGACCTGGATTCTAAGTTAACTCACTGTGGGGCAAGACTGACATCTGAGGCAGGAATCAGGGGTGTATAGGAAAGAGGTTCACATCCCCAGTGCAGTTCAAGAGAAGTCCAGGGAGCATGGAAGCAAGAGATAGTAAACAGTTTAATTTTGAGTAGCCTTTTACACAACTGCAGGTAAAAAGGTTTTATAGACGTCAGCAGCAGTATCCCAAAGCAGAGGAGTGAGATCATGAAAGCTTCAAAGAGGTGCTGGAAGCAAAAGCCAGGAAGCACACAGAGGGAACTCATACCGGCAGGAGGGGTAGTGAGGTGCATGAAGTAGTGCCAGAGGTAGGAGTAAGGGGAAAGCTGCATTTAGGCTTGGGAAAGTGCAACAGAATGCATTATGGAAGAACTCTGAACAGGGTCTCCAAACACCTCTGGAGTCTGAACACTACTCACCTGCTGAGGAGCTACAGGAAGAGAGGTTTTAGGAGAACAGCCTGCCTCAGGGCTCCACCACCTCCGGAAAGGCAGGCTGCCCTCACAGCTGGGAGTCACAGCGCTGGAAAAGTGTATGCGAACAGCCTGATCATGGCTTTGTGACAGGAGGAGAAGGCTGCTTGCTACACAGTAAGCACAGAAAGGGAGAAGTTAAGTATGGGGAGCAGAGGATGCAGTACACATTGTGCCTACTACGCAAAACTCTTGGCAGTTTTTCACTAGAGTAAGCATGCTACAACTTGCAAGGAACTCCAGTAAGCTACTGAGGGTGGATGCTCGACCTAAAGCCCTAAGCTGGTCTAAATCACACTGGCCTTGGGAGAAAAAAGCAACATGTTTTTTGGTACTACACTGAGATTCAGCAGATGCGTCTTTGCATCCAGGCAAAACACACAACCAGCAAATAAGGTACTTGTGCCTGATTGAGTCGTGACTTATCCAGGACATGGTTTGAAGACACAACAGAAATTCAGTCCTGTTTTAAACAAATCCCTTGCTGTGGCTGTACACCTAGAGCAGGTCACTGGTCATCCAAAATCATCCACTCATCAGTACTCAGCTCTGCTGGTAGCATTAACACTCCAGACAAAAGATTTTAATTTCATTACAATTAAGAAACCAGGACAAAGTCTGAAACCATTTACTGCATATGCATACTCTCTGCTATCAAGAATAGGATCTTCATACATGCACACGCGTGTGCACACCAAAAACTCCATTTATCTACCACTAAGATAAACAGTGTAAGTCCAGCACAAAGTAGTCTCAAGTGCTTTGAACACACATAAATCAAATTTGAAAGTTTCAAAGAGGCCTAGCAATGCCTGGTTTGAACTTAAAAGCAGTCCTGCCATTTTGGAATCCTGCACTCTGTAGGATAGCTGCCTTCTTAAAAGCCCACACAAGCTTAAAAGTATTTCAAACAAATGTTGCCTAAGGCTTTTCTTGAACAATTCACTCCCGAGTCAAAACAATCCATGGAAACTCGGCAAAGATACTTATTTCCTAATGCAAAGCACAGGAAGGTTTGCATGGATGCTGGAAACCAGGAGCAGGTGAGTGAAAGCCATATGCAGCTGAATCAACTGCCCCTACTATGAAACCTTGAGGCACAATGTTGGAATGGCTTCAGATGCACTTACAATAAAGGCAGCCCACAAAGAGACTCATTATAATGTAAAACAGGCATTTGTTCCAAGTGTGCTGAGACACAGAAAGCTAACCCTGCTGGCACTCTCTGAACTGAGGCAGACTGAAGTGGGAGGATTGCTGGAACCACACTCCAGCTTTATTACTAGAGGACAAGATGCCCACAATATCATTTGGCTAATTTAGTTTCCACTACAAGTTCTACTAATTGCAATATCTGTTTAATTATAACTGTAAGCAGATAAGGGCACTGATAGAAGACAAACTGCTTGTGAACACAAGGCAGGTCCTGCAGAAAGGGAAACATCATACAGCATGGACAGAGCAGCCAAAACCTCTGACAGGTGGCTGCTAAGAGGCTGATTCCTGGACAGAGTCTCAGACAAATCAATACCAAAGATCTACCCTGCTAAAACTGCCTCAGACTGCAGCACAGGCACGGCTTCAGAAGCATTCATCCTGGACTCAAATATTTCCCTGTCCATGGGACTCTTCCTTACGCTTGCATTAAAGTGTGGCAGCTACCCACTTCCTGTAGCACACACTGTAATCTTAGCAGGATTAAGGCTGTTCTTCCCAACAGACTCACTCTGCTTTTGCCTGTTAGTCCTGTTGATTGTGCCAGTGATACACATACTCAGTGAACACCTTGAAAAGCAAAGGGTAGCATGGTTAATTTGGCAGATCAGCCAGTCAGTGCAAAGCAGAAGACAGTGAGTAATAAAGCATTATACCCTGAGCAACAGCTGAGAAAATGCCAAGTGCTACTGAGATTCACACATCAGCAAGCATAGAGTTTTACAATTTTCATTCTTAAACCAAAAGGCACCAACCCAATGACTGTTATTGCTAGATGTTTTTAAACTTCTTTCTTGAAGTTGGCCATGCACCCTGGCTGTGATCAAGCCAACTCTTCTACAGGGCTCCTGGTATCACTTCCAGCCAAGAATCTGGACTGTAAAAGTAATGTCAAAAAAGATTCTCCAAATGCCTGTACCTCCTCTCCCCAGTAACCTACTGACAATTCAGATCTCCATCAGTTCCAGCACCAGGCTTTGCCTTGCTACACTTAGCTGAATCTCTATGCCCCAACCTGACATGAGTCTGGTGGGATCTCCACTCTGCTGGTGAAAGCTGTCTTGTCTTTCCTCTCAGATGGGTACCTGAGAAGGCCAGAAAGATTCTCAGTACTCTATGGCCATTGCTGTCACCCCAGAAGTGCCATTGGCTTGGTGCCTGTACCAGCTGTAAGTGTTCAGAGAAGCAGGTTAGTGTGATTCTCCTACCTTTGTGTATGAGCTAGTGAGCAGGAATGGGAATTGATGGAGTTAGGGTTACAGGCTACAGTCCCATAATCCATGATCTGATTGCTGCCTTGGAGTCTCTGTAACAACACCCACAAGTCACCATACCAGAAAAGCTGGAAGCAAGTAGGGAGGGAAATGAAGGGGGGAAGGGGGAGGGGAGAGGAGAGATAAAAAAAGAGGAACAGGCAAAGGAAGAAACTAGTAAAATTATGTGTAAGTAAAAGCATGTGTAAGACAGCTATCTCATGTAGAAAAGTTCCAGTACCTGACTCCACAAAGGCAGCACAAAATCCCCAAGCCCCACTGGCTGCTCCCCTGACTGAGGCATCCATGTTAGTGCAGAAAACCAGGTTCAGCCTGCCTTCAGTTGGTTGATCACATGGGGTTGTTAAGCTTGAGAAGTACCCAGGCGAGTTCAGCCTTGTGGAGGACACATTTGGGGGTGTGGTGGGGTGTGTGTCATGACTCCCTCAAAGCACGAGTCCTCAGGGGGAAGGAGCTGCCAGTGAAGTTTTTGCCTGACTGAGACCTGTTACCTCTCACGCACCCCTCCAGTTCTTACTGCTGTCAGTTCTGGGGGCTTTTAGTATTATAGAAATGATACCTGTACCACATTTTCTCTGGTCTCAATGCCCTCTACTCTCCAGCAGCAAGCTTTTACAATTGTATTCGTAAGAAAAGATTTAGACTAAAAATGGCTTAGTGTACAGTTCATCTGGCGAGAGAAGTGATTGACAAAGGGAAAAGGCCTTACTACTACTAAGCATCATGCCAGAGAACCTTGCTATTTCCTGAGCCTTTCACATACATGGTACGAATTAACTCACGGTGCCACCAGCACCTCTCATTACAACCCTGCTGCCTCAGAGCTTGCAGAGGATGGTTTGGTCTTACAACTCATCTTTCGTCTTTGACTTCAGCAGTATTAATTGCAGGATACAACAGTTTTGCATATATTAAAAGAGACTGGTCTTTACCCAGGCTCAGCTTAGCTAAGTGTGTTCCAGTTAGTCCCATTCACACCAGAATTCTGGCATAGCTGTTGTCTTCTAGTTGTCCCATAGACTGTGATACTCACCACTGCTAAAATCAGTCAAACTTGCAAGCCTCAGAGCAGGAAAAAAAAAAAGCAGGAATTCTTCTTAAATTATGACAGTGGGGCGGGGGGGGAGCTGCTTTATCCAAACCAGATAAATTGTACAGTATTACCCCAACCCCACTTAGTCTAGAATTATATTTGCAAGAATTACTCAAGGTGACATTAATTCCCTTCACTTATTTTACTGTCTTTGTGCTCAGATAGTTCAGTAAAAATAAATGAAAAAATAGAAACCAAAATAAAAATAAAAAGCATATATTTTGTAATTGAAAATCCACCTCCTTGAGCAGCCAGTTGGAGCAGAGCAAGACGTTCTGGTCTCTCTCCAGATCAGACTGGTTAGATTAGCTGGAGGAAGGCAGCACTGTTTTCAGAAAAGAGCTGACTCAGGCCACCACAGAACTGAGTTTATGCACTTTGCTAGACATGGTTGCTGATGGCTTCATGAATGTTGAGTGGATGTGTCTCCTAATGTCCTAGAAGAGGAGCCCAGAGCAATAAGAAAGAGAACCTCAACCACCAGTCCCCTCCCTTTTCATGCAGGGAGAGCTTCTAAGAGAGTTGGCAGCTGAGGACAGGGAATAAGGGGAATAACCTGCCTTCCCAGGGGCCTGGAATGACAGTTACCTAGCTCTAAACAAGGGCAAAGCACTGGTAGGCTCAGTGCTTTGTCAGGGGAGAAAAGCAAACAAGCACTGCCCTATATCCGATCCTAGCTGATACAAAGATGTGTGAAGCCCTGCACACTGTCTGAGGACCAGAGCCTCCAGATTCTGTAGTAAACAGAGGCCCCAGCAGCTGGCAGAGCTGGGATTACACCACCTGTCTTAAAATGCCAACAAGAAGCTTCCCCAAGGGCTAGGCAAAAAGTGATGGGATAAAAGAATCACAATTGCAGTCATAATTTGGAAAGGGCCAGCCTCATTCCTAGAAAGGAGAGAGGTTGGGTGTTGTCCTGAGCAACTAGCAGGGGTGCAGCAGGGATTGAAGGAGGATTTACTCACTGTCTGTTCGTTATCCAAATTGGCCTGCTGTCTTTGGAGATCAGCCTTAATGAATGCTGGAAAAGATGGAGGAAGTGAGACGTGAAGGCAGTTAAGTCACCATGCAAAGCCCGTATCAATTTCTCCAGGACTCAAAAGGACACCACAGGCCAAAGAGTAGACAGGAACATATTACGGTGAGCAAGGGAAGCCATTCTCCTGAATGAGGCAAAGAGCTTTTCTGAAACAGGCAGGATAGAGACTCCTTACTGCACCATGTAGAAGATGCATCTTTGAGACTCCAGCCAGCAGTCAGGGCAAGAAGCCTTGGATCTCCTTTGTAGCACAGACCAGATGCTTAAAGGAGCACAGCAGCTACAGGACTGCTCTGTGGGTCCTGCCCTTTTCTGCAGGCACCACTACACCCAAAAGCCCTTCAATTCATATGCCAAGCCCAAGGGGAAGAGTCACAGAAGAGGAACACTGAAAACTTTAATTACCTGTCATAATGGTTCCCAGTAACAGGAAGGCACAAAGAAATAGGTTTCCTGCCTTTGTCCCAATGTGATCCATGATTTGCCCTTGGCCAATGGTGAAGGCAATACCAAAAATCTATAAATAAACAGAGGCAGTGTCAAGCTGTACTGTTATTGTAAAGCAGCCCAAACAGCTTCCCAGCTTTACTGACATATCAGAGCAGACAGGCCAGCCAAGCTGCAGGCCTAGTGGGGATAAAGTTTGGCTATAAACACATATCCAGAGGCAGCTCCTTACAGCTGATGGAAAGACAAATGACCCTTAAGGCTAGAATGCCATCTCTCACTAGACAAGAGACTGTTAGGGGCAGTGCTGGAAAAGGCAAGGATGACTAGCATTCTGACATATTTTCCTAAGCTGAAACAGAATGGGTGCCAATAGAGAAATGCCATGAGGAACATAATTCAAAAAGCCAGGGTGCTTAGATCTGCAGTGCATTACAATAATCATGGACAAGAAATAGGAGTCAAGGCTGGGAACTACAACTTAACCTCTCTGCCTGTGAAGAGGCAAGCAAAAAAGAAAACAGCACACCTACCTGTGCCGAGACATTAAGGAGCCCTGATGATGTTCCTTCTGATTCTGGGTATGTCAACTCTGCAGCAAACTCAAAGCCCAGGGGAAGGTATCCCGTCATAAAAAACCTGTAAAGAAACACGTGGACAGGAAGACTTGGCAACTGCGAGAAGGAAGCCTGAAGAGACACAGTGTAGCCCATATCCCTTTTGGGGGGCTTCACTGACTGCACAAGGTGTTTTCCCTAGCATTGTCACAGCCCAGGCAGCTGTCTCACTCCCTCACCATGGCACAGGTCTTCCTCCTACCAAGAAATACCTTTGCCCACATTCTCAAGGCACAGAGGCAGGCCAGCAGGGAGCTGCCAGTTGTTACAACAAGGAATTAAAAGCAGCATCTCCCACAAGTAACTCTACGGGGCAGCATCCCCAGCACAGTCAACATCCACCCAGGCCCACATGCTTTTCATTCCTACCCATGGGTATCGTGGTTTAAGCCCAGCCAGCAACCCAGAACCACGCAGCTGCTCACTCACTCCCCCCGCCTTCCTCTCCCCACTGCAAACATGGGGCACGAAGCCAATGAACTCAATTGTATATGCTGTTGCCTGCTATGTAGCACTTTTATAGCCCACCAACTTGATGTCTTCAGGTCACCAGCGACTGGCCCTGACTTCCCTCTGACCATCATTCCAACAAAGAATGAACTTTGATGAAACCAGACAAGCTCAGCACTGATGAGTTCTGCGGTGTCATCAGCAGGCAACAATCCAACACTGCACACTGTTTCTCCTGCTCTGAAAGACTGTTAAGAGATAGAACCCGACATCATGGACTGGATGAACTCAGCAGCTTTATAGGGATTGGTCCATGCACTAAGGAATGATCTCTCTCTCTCTTTGTGTGTGTGTGGATGTGTGTATATATATATATATGTGTATATATATATATATATATATATGTGTATATATATATATATATATATATATATATACACACACAAGACAAGAGTGATGGTATATTGAAAAATGTGGGATCTGAGCATGATGTGAATGGCACAGAATAAGGGGTGGTTACTGTCCTGGGTTCAGCAGTAGCAGACATTTTTCTCCTTCTTAGTAGCTGGTGCAGTGCTGTGGTTTTGACTTTCAGCCTGGGAACAGCGCTGATAACACCAATGTTTTTAGTTGTTGCTCAATAATTTTTAGTCTGACCAAGGACTTTCTGAGTCTCATGCTCTGCCAGGGAGGAGGGGAAGCCGGGAGGAAGCAGAGACAGGACACCTGACCCAAACTAACCAAAGAGGTATTCCATACCACAACATGTCATGCCCAGTATATAAACTGGGGGCAGTTACCTGGAAGGGCTAGGGCATTGCTTGGGTCAGGCTGGGTATCAGTTGGCGGGTGGTGAACGGTTGTATTCTCTTCCCTTGTTATTTCCCTTATCATTATTATTATTGGTGGTAGCAGCAGTGATTTGTGTTATACCTTAGTTACTGGACTGCTCTTATCTCAACCCGTGGGAGTTACATTCTTTCAGTTCTCCTCCCCATCCCTCTGGGAGCAGGGGGAGGGCTGAGTGAGCGGCTGCATGGTTCTGGGTTCCTGGCTGGGCTTAAACTACGACAATGGGTCATTTAGGAGGTACCTCTCACTTCCCAAATGCTTTCACTTGATTAACTGGAACATTTAAGGCATGCTGATGTCCCTGACTAATGAAACACATACAAGAGAGAGATGGGAAGAGCAGATAATTTTGTCCTTAAACCACACAGGAGCCGCACACAGACTATGACTATCTCAAATCCCACCATGATCTTTGCTTCTCTAGCAGCTCACATGTAGAGGAAAGCAGATCACTCGTGAACTTACCCCAGCATGCCTGCAGTCACAAAGACCACCCAGAGGTGGCCTAAGCTCAGAGTGAAGGTGTAGGCTATCATTCCCACAAGAGACATGATATAGACGACAAGTGTTGTCTGTCTGCAAAGAAAAGCAGAGTCAGGGCTTTATTTAATCCAGTCCTCCTTTTTGTTCACAGATCATTGTACAGTTTGCATAATGTGGTTAATAAATAAACATTATAGGGGGCTTTGTTCTCTGTGGAGTTGGGTTACATCATATCTGTAAGGAGCCACCTATGAAGCAGCCACAAAACTCAGATCCTACCATGGTCTAACAGGTCCTTAGTCATATACTGTACATATAATGTACATCCCACTCTTGAGAGGGAGAAGAAGAGGCAAATAAAGAGATCATTAACCTTTTTTAGGCACCCTCTGTACTATAACCAGTTGGACATGTTTATTTATAAGTAGGAGTTGAGGGTGATTGAGTACGCCCAAGCAGAAAAGCAAAGGGAAGCGGTGACAACACTGCTCCACTGTTATAGGCCTGTATTTTTCATCGCTGTTCAAAACACCTTTCATTGCTGCTCCTTTCTGTGTTTAAACTGCCTACAGCACTTGGAGAGGTGACGGGCAAGCCGAGCTGCCCTCACAGTCTCACCCTCAAGCCAGGAAAGTGTTTAGCAGGGATAGTGCTAGTTCCACAGCCAGTGGCAACTGAGACACGAGCTCTCATCTCTGGGCAGAGGGGACAAAAAGACCCTGTGCCCAGGAAGCATGCCAGGCAGGTCCTGGGAAAAGCCAGATCCTGGGAACTGCCAGATCTGCAGCCTGCCCATGCTGAGGAATGTCAGTAGGCTTGGTATTGCAAGACACATGCAGCAGCCCAGGCCAGCTTTACCAGAACTGAAACATTAGCAATTGTCATTCCTGATTAGACACCAAGAAAACTCTTCCTATATCCTCAAAACAAAGCTCTTTCTAGTACAGGAGGTAGCAAGCAGCCCTTCACAGTATATAGGTTTGGAAAGAAAGGAAAAGTAAATCCTTTACCTGAATTAAATTCCACCAGGATCTTGAAAGCAGAACAGTTACCAGAGTTGACAAAACTTTTGGCCATTGTCTTTTAGGAAGAAGTTAAATGCACAACCACAAGCTACTTGTGTACCCTCCACCAAATTTTCGTCTTAATCCATTAAAGAATGTGTTTGGTATCAGGCCCTAGAATTCTACTAAAGAAACTAAACCTCAATCTATTTTCACTTTTTTTTTCTTTTTTAATGCAAATGACTACTGTCAAAATACAAACCCAAACAAACAGCCCAGATCATATTGTGTAAGAAAATATTTCAGTACACTGTGTTGCTACAGATAAAACCAGAATGTTCCAGCTAAAATTCTGTCCTCCCTCACTGCTGCAATGACTGAAGTCAGCGGAGCTCATGCTCATGTGTCAATTCTTATCCAAATACAGGCTTGAGAAGCAAATTTCAGACTTCCAACTATCAACTCATACTTACAAAGGTTCACCAGACACATTTAATGTATTGAAAAGCTAAACGCATTTTGCTGTGACAAGTAATTGTGTTTTGTATCAAAGGGGTAGGCAAATTCCTTAACCACCAATGCTGTATCATTTCTAGAATATGTTCTTTCCAGGGCTTTCATGGAGGAAAAAGTCACCAGTGAAGGCAGCATACGGGGGCCACTTACTTCTGCTATAACCCATTATAGAGAGCTTCTACATGGCTGGCAAACAGTCTAGAGGCTGCAGAAGAACAGCTGAAAGACTAACAGAGGAGTTAGAAAGCAGCCCCAGAAAGTGAAACAGAAGCAGGTAAAAGCCTTTTAAGCCTTTTTCTGACCAATACAGGTTCCTCAGGTATCTCCCATGAAGTGTTACTCCTCCCATCCCTTGACAAGCAGCCACAGAGTAACAGTAATGACTAGGAAAGGGGCTCAAGGCTGGAACTGCAGTTCCCTGGATTGCATGGACCAAGTTTGAACTGGGTGCTCCTCCCATAAACAGGAGTCTCCAAATACATGGCAGTCAGTGCTGTAATACAGCACAAGCCTTCAAGAGGTGGCTGTGGCCCTAAGAAGCTTAGCCTCTGCCAGCAGGGACACCTGAAAAACGTTTGGTTTTTTTTTTATCCCCACAGCCAGTTTTGGTCTCAGTGCAGAGCTCTTAGGATAGCCCCACAAAATCTCACACAGGTTTCCTAGGCTTATAGTTCAAATATTCCAACTCGTTTGTATCTGATTCAGTCTGTCCTGACAGCTGCTAACAGTTGCACTTTGCCCCTCATCTCCAGGCAAACGTGATAAATGAGTTAGTGACCAGATGTGGTCAGGACTTTGTTTCACATTGATGCTATGTCATTAGTCAAGCTGCAAGAAAGAAGTTCCCAGAACATGCAGCCCCCCAGATGAGAACTAGAGCAGGCAGGCTCACAGAAGCAGGCAGCTGCTGAAGGTGTTCTCCATTGGGACTGTAGAACTAAGTGGGAAACAAAATGGAGATAACTGTTTGACCTTGGCATGGTACTTTATCTACCACACGTTAGCTAGCTCTAAGAGACTACAACCTTTCCTCACTCACCTCCATGAATCATTAGGGTCCAGCATGACAAGATGAATCAACAGACCCTTACGAAAGAGCAAGGCCATGTGCTTGAGTTGTGTGAAAATCATGCACTAGGAAGCATCCTGAAACCATGCACTGAGTGGCTGCCTGCTGACCACAGTCCCTAACTGGGACTTGAGCAGACAGCCCTGAATTCAACTCCTGCTGCAGGAAACAGTCTCAAGCACACAAGCAGACTTCTGCTAAACCAGACTTTAGCAAGACCCAGCTCCCCTGTGCTTAACACTGATGACAAAAAAGATTTAGTGTCCAGTACTCCAAGCAAGGCTCAGATGTTTTGAAAAGGGTTTAATTGAGGCACAGGTAAACACTGGTGTGTAGGGAAACAAAGAAAATCCTGGGAAAAGACACCAGCAAGTGACCTTTATCACCATGTTCACTACAGGACAAGAATGCTCTGTGGACCCTAGGGGCATGGAATAATGCCCTGTTCTCCTTGATCAGCCTCTTATCATAGCCATATATCTTATGGCAGAGATAAAAACACCAATGAGGAGAAGCAGATTCATGGCATTCTGGCTTTGGCAACCTGTTCCCATGATGGCCCTACAGGGACTGATAATTATAACATTTTCGTCGCTGACATGGACAGTGGGATTGAGTGTGCCCTCAGCAAGTTTGCCGATGACACCAAGCTGTGTGGTTCAGTTGATACGCTGGAGGGAAGGAATGCCATCCAGAGGGACCCTGACACGCTTGTGAGGTGGGCTGATGCCAACCTTATGAAGTATAACTGTGTCAAGTGCAAGGTCCTACACCTGGGTCAGAGCAATCCCAGGCACAGCTACAGGTTGGGCAGAGAAGAGATTCAGAGCAGCCCTGCAGAGAAAGACTTGGGGGTGTTGGTTGATGAGAAAATGAACATGAGCCGGCTTCAGTGTGCACTCACAGCCCAGAAAGCCAACCATATCCTGGGCTGCATCAAAAGGAGCGTGACCAGCAGGTCAAAGGAGGTGATCCTGCCCCTCTACTCTGCTCTTGTGAGACCTCACTTGGAGTACTGTGTGCAGTTCTGGTGTCCTCAACATAAAAAGGACATGGAACTGTTGGAACAAGTCCAGAGAAGGGCCATGAGGATGATCAGGGGACTGGAGCACCTCCCGTATGAAGACAGGCTGAGAAAGTTGGGGCTGCTCAGCCTGGAGAAGAGAAGGCTGCGTGGAGACCTCATAGCAGCCTTCCAGTATCTGAAGGGGGCCTATAGGGATGCTGGGGAGAGACTCTTCATTAGAGACTGTAGTAATAGGACAAGGGGTAACAGGTTAAAACTTAAACAGGGGAAGTTTAGATTGGATATAAGGAGGAAATTCTTTCCTGTAAGGGTAGTGAGGCACTGGAATGGGTTGCCCAGGGACGTTGTGAATGCTCCATCCCTGGCAATGTTCAAGACCAGGTTGTACGAGGCCTTGGGTGATATGGTTTAGTGTGAGGTGTCCCTGCTCATGGCAGGGGGGTTGGAACTTGATCTTAAGGTCCTTTCCAACCCTAACTATTCTATGATTCTATGGTAATTGTCTGGAACAGGTACCACCAGTCTCCCTACAGCCTGAGTAGTGCAGTGAGTGCAGACTGGATGTTACTGCTAGATCATCTTAAATTGAGGTTAACCTACCTCTGTGCCCTGGGATTTGCAAAAAAAGCCCAGTGCACTGATGTGGAAGACGTGGAAGCAGTGCTACAAAAGCACCAGCTGCCAAGTCTCTGCAGGAGAGGCGGAGGGTCATCCAAAAAGGAGCCGATATCCTTGTCACTTTGGTGAACCTTAAAGCTGTCCTGACATTTATCTGCCCTTCCAACCACATTCTCTTCCCTTTGTATAGACAGAGTGCTCACACAGTGAGAGAAGAGAGACCTTAGGGAAAAAAGCCAGCCAGAGCCAGCACCAGCTGGGACTGAAATGGAGAGCCCAACTCCTGCCGTTCAGCCAGCTTCAGAGGAAGTCTAAACTCTGTGTGTATATTGGTGTTTTGCACACCAGGTAATAATCCTGCTTTTGGGACAAGACTAGAGTAAGGAATGGGCATGGCCCAGCCCAGCAGCATCTCACAAGGTCACTTGGATCAGAAAAGACAAAGGGACAGGACCAGACTCACAGGGGACTGAAGATGCAAAAACACTAAAGTCAAGCAACATCTGAAGCAACAAATGAACAAGGGGTGGGAGGCAGGCCACAGCCACAGCTTTAACTGCTTACTGGGATGTTGTGTGCAGCTCCAGAGTGCTCTGCTGTACAGACTGAGATGACAGACAGCCTCCACAGGCTTTGCCATGAGCACATTACAGCTTGCACAAGGCTCTAAACAAAGGCCTTGTCCCTGTACTTCCAGGAAGATCTCACTGCTGAAGACACTGAAGTTAAATGCTGGAGAAGGGACAAATTAGAGAGGGCTGTTTGGGTTTTCACCACCCCCTCATCCTTCAGTATTCAGTTTTTGTGCTTTCTTCTTGTATGAAGGTCACAAAAACAGGATAGCCTTGTAAGTCCTCTTTTGGGAGGAAGGCATATGTGCTACACAAGGACTAACCTGGAAAAGGGCTCCAACAAGATGATCCAAATTGCAAGCCAGGCTAGGCTGAGAAAGCACCTTTCAGTGGAAGAGACCCAAGTGCACCTGTTCTCTAATATCCAAGACTTTCCTCCCACCCCAAATTTTGACACACTTTGGGCCTGTACAGACCTAAATTTAAAAAACCACTTGGGGTCCTTTGCCTAGTCAATACAGAGAGATAAATATTTCTGACATCCTGACTTACACAGATGCAGTGATGACAGCAGAGTGTGCTGTCTGGAACCAGCTGGACCCAAGGCCATGTGAGCACTGCCCCTGAAAGCAAAGCATGGCCAAAGAGATGTGGTGCTTAATCTAGTCCCCAAAGCCCTGATTCTGAGCCAGACTCCCCTACAAATATCAACAAACCAGCAGTCTCTTAAGTGTCACAACTCCCTCTCTCCTCTAGGACATGAACCTGAAGGATGTACATGAAGCCTCATTTAACTGGATGTCAAAACACATTCTTTTGAAGAGGTGGTTGTTTCCAAGAAGTCATCCCACCAGAGGCAGCCCCATTTCCAGGACTGCTTGCTCACCACAGCATAACTCACGTTTCTGTATGGGCCAAATCTATGCCTCCTAATTCCAAAAATAAGAATAGCACAGGGACTTGCCTGGCAAATAAAAGCAAGAATGAAAGGCCATTTGGTACCTGAGCATGACAGATGGGGAAAGCCTGACTTAGCATAGCCTTACCCTTTCAAGGAACTGCTGACAGGACAGTAAAGATCAAATACGCATGTAGAGCACTGTAATTCTTTCTCTCACTAACCTCCCCCTGCTTCCCTCAATCACAGCTGGATCCCATTCATTTGCTTCCCCCTCTCTCCACGCTGACTAAAAAAAGGACTTGGTATCTTTCCTTCCTGATTTTCATGTGCTTACCGTTTAGTTCCTGACACTATCTGAGCAGCAGAGGGAAGGGGGAGGGTATCTACCTAAAACATCTGGCATCTTGACAGTTTAATTTTTAAATAGACTTTTAAATGGGGCTAAATAAAGACTCTGTAGCACTCAAAAATTTTGCTAGTTCCACATAAATCCACTTTGTGGGCTGAAATGGAGAAAAAATTCTTAGCTGTGTTTTTCCTCACCTAAGGCTAAATCTATCCCCAGATAGTCCCTGGAGTCTGCAGAGTAATTTCCATAACCCTATTTTTCTGCACTCTGAGTCAGCTGTGCCTACCTATGTGGTCCCTTCCAAGCAAGCAAACATGGTCTTGTTTTCCTAGCCCAAGATACCAGGTAGGATAACGGCAGTGGGACTCCCCCAGGAGAAAAGCTGCTGCAAGGAAAAGAACTCCAAAATTGCCTTCAGATCATTGCCAGTACACCACCAGTAAAGCCCAGATAAAAGATTATAGCACAAAGAGAGCAGAGAAACTGTAAAACTATTTACATGGACCCCAACACAAGACAGGAGAGGCACTGTCCATCCCCTGGGAGACCCTACAGAGGTCTGTCAGTGAGATCTCAGTTCCTCAGGACTGGGAGCTCCAAGGCACCCAAAGATTATTAATTGTCCCTTCACAAATGGCAGGGTATGCTGGCCAGATCTGCCTTCCCAAAGCACCAAGCAGCAAACCCAGAATCATCCACCTGCTACCCCAATATTCCTTATGCCTGCCCTAAATTCAGCAACGCGCCCTCACACAATGCCTCTGGGCACTGGATTCAATGTGCCTTTCACTAAGCCGGACAAAGATTCACAGAAGCTGGATTGTAAGGGCTGAGAAATGGTCTGGTACAGTCTTGATTCTGCTTGTGCCAAGAACTCTCTCATCCTTGACAAAGAGGCTACTGGGCCATCTCATCCTCTCCCTATGCCTCCTTAGGGACCACTACTGCAGACTAACACACAGCTTTAAACTTCACTTTAAACTAACTGGATTTTGAAACCAACATTTTTTTCCTACAAACCCTCCCTGGACTGCTGATTTGCAGCTGCACAGGGTTGCTCCTTGCACAGTATGGGGGAACAGTACAGTCATTAGGCAAACAAAGAACTTACTTGTAGGTTTTGGTTCTGTCCAACCAGATGCCAGAGATCAGAGCCCCAGCCATACCCGACAGTATAATGGTGAGTCCAATCCTGCCAGCATTCACCTCCTCCCTCTGTGGCAAGACATACAACACACTCACACAAAGGCAGGAGCAAAGTCATAGCCAACAAGGAGCAAAATACAGAGAACTCAGGAAGAGACACCAAAGTTGGTGGCCATCCATGACTTCTTCTGGTAACACACTAATCAGAACTAGCCTTTGCAACAACACTTTGGGGCCCACTGTGAGCCAATGCAATGGCCCATGAAGAAAAGCGGTTTGTCACTTTCTCTGAGCCAGCCCAGAAAAACAGGTGAGCACTGGCCAGTGTGAACAGATACTCTTAGAGGAGTCAGCATAAACCCTATGAAGCTTGCTGTGTAGTGTTAGGACTTGTTGCCAAATCAGCCAGGAAATACTGGGAACCACTATGACAGTACAGAAAGGAGCTCTCTGCCATGCAGCCCCAGCAGTAAACTTTATTTAGCTACTGAGGCACCCCACCCTTCTGCCACCAGAGCACAAGTGCAAGCAGCCCTCCGTATGGATGTCCCAGTAGAAATCACTGTAGGAACAGGGTGGAGGCAATTGCTGGAAGGCTGTCATTTAGAGTGTAAAGGAGCTGTCTTTCATAGGGCTCGCCAGCTTTTGCACAGGGTGGTGTCAAGAACTAAAGGAACTAATGCTCTCTTACCAGCCAGCCAACTTGTGCCAGAGCCAGTCAGAAGCGCTGTGGCATTGCATTTCTCACAGACTATCATTCAACAGCCAGTGCAAGCATCAGAGGGTCATGAGGGTTGGATACACTTACTGGGTAGTGAAGGATCACCATGCGGTTCAGCAGAGTGGACAGGGCGTAGAAGCAACCTGTATTCAGACCTGAGAGGGGGATAAAAATGCAGCACATTCAGAACCTGCCACTCTCCTGCTGGGTAGCAAAAGGGTAGAAATTCAGGGAGAGACATGTCTGGGAGCAGTGATCTATAATAAGGCTGCTGACTCTCAGGAGTGCCAGCCAGACTGGCCAGACACAGGTTACTGAAAGAAAAACGAATAGACCAAAGACAACCATGTCTCAGCATGCACGAGGAAGCACCCTGCAGTTTCAGGATGGTTCTTACCTTGGCAGCTAGAGGAAGAGCTGCGCATATTTCTGGTACTGAGAGGGTCTTGCAAGTCCTTCATAGGGTCTCAACCCTCCCTCACACCCAGATCCATCTTTAGCATTGGAGTTTTCTCCTCCCCCCAGTCAAGGTAAAATACTAGAAAAGCACCTGCCTCAGCATTACACCTTTAGTAAGGACCTGGGATTTGATTAACACCAGTGCCATTGACCTGTGCAGTTTCCTCCCAGGTAAGAGCCTGATAGCACTCTCCCTGCTGAGAGCCAGTAAAAACCCTCTCCAAGCTGAGGAACACCAGAAGGCAAATAAGAGCAGAGCCAATGGGGAAGCACAGACAGCATTTCCCCCAGGCACCTGGTGGGAGTGTCTGCATGAGAAAAGTCTTGCATTTTAAAAGGTATCACTGAAGCCTGAAAAAAAAACCCAGCTGTGAAAGTAATTGTCTTTCTGAAAGGGAAGTCATATTAACTGTTACAGGCATCAGCCACCTGGTGAAGATTTCTCAGTATCACCCAAGGTGAGAATGGAAACCGTTGGGTTGATACTGGTCAAGCCACACTTAGACACTCTGCTCCCGCTTACATGCAACTCTGGTTAAGTTAAATGTCTTCCCAAAGAGCACAGAACCCAAGGGTTTTGCTTACAGTACAAGAGCATGCACAGGGGCGCCAGACCAGCAGTACTGCAATGGCCACACTCTCACCTTGGGTGATACTGAGAAACCTTCCCCAGGTGGATGAGGTCTGTAACAGTCAACACAACTTTCTTCTCAGAAAGTCATTTACATTTGCAGTTAGTTTCTCTTCAAGGCTTCAGTGATCCCGATGGGGGAGGGATGGGAACACAGATTTCACTACTGCAGGTCGCACATCTATAGGCTCCATAAGGAGGCATGGGTTTAAAAACTCTGGCACAGATGCCCAAAATCCTGACAGAGCACATACATGTCAAGTTCCCACTTCCTACTTTTCCTTTTTCAGCCTCAGCTAAAATGAAAAGGACCACAATATATAATACAGAAGTGCAGTCTAGCAGGCAGAGCTTTGAAAAAGGGAACAATATCCTGAGCTTCCCAGGTCCCTGAAGACCTCCAGCTTCCCTGACCCTAAAGTACTTGGTAATCTGTGCCTAGCCCATCTTCCACTGGGACACTGGATACCCATTGCCCTACACAGCTCATGAAGTACTGTGAGGAGCCACAAGATTGGCAGCTAGAAGGGACATCACACTTCCTTCACACGCCCTCACTGACAAGTTTAAGCAGAACTCACTCCACAGCTTTATGGCACAGAGAACAGATGATGAATCTTATGCACGGGATCCCAAATAAGCCAATTTCCTGTGACAACACTCCCTGCTCTAAAAGCACGTATCAGGAGATTACAGGAGAGGCTAGTAAACGGAGTGACAGGCTCTTTAGGTGAGAGGAATCCACCCAATCCTTTCCCAGAGTTACTCAGGAGGGCTGGAAACTTCAGCAGGGCCAGCAGTCAGAGAAAGGGAGATCTTGCAGCAAGGAGGCCCCTTCAGCCTCAAAAGCTGACTCTTTGCAATACTAGGCTATGGCAAAACAGCCCACAAGAGCTTAATTCGACTTCATCCTTCCTCTACCTCTGAAGCACACTGCTCACTGGGAGACACCACAAACTGCAATGCCAGGACACAGAAGTGTGGCAAATCAGCACCATCCCTACTACTACCCACTACTCCTTCACTTCAAAGCTGGACATAAACAGTTCATTTACCAGTCATTTGCGTTACCTCTACTTCTCATCCAGCCAAGAGAACAGTAGGCTTGTGGGGACAGCCAGATGCTGCTCTGGTAGCTGATGCTGTCAGTACCCCATCTTCACAGCAGCTCTGTGAGGCATGTAATACCCAAGAGAAATAAGGGACCCTGCTCACAGGCTGGGTAGAAAAGTAATGCAGAGTTGGCACCAACACTTGGCATCAGAGTCAGGCAAAATATTTTAAGAATCAAGACAATGTACTGAATTTGCATTCTGGGGGCTGGCAAAAGGTGTAGGTATTCCACATGTCACAGTTGCTCAGTTAAGTTTCTCCATAAATTACATCTGTTTGAATGCCCATAAAACAAGCAACAGTTGTTTCCCCAGTGGGGTAGTGCCATTTGACCAGTCTTTCCCACCCTTTTCCTGCCTACCGCCTCCCAGCAGCAACATGTTTTCCAATGCAGAGCCCAACCCAATAAACTCACAGTTTGTTAATACCCATTCCGGTTTATGTCTCAGCTTTATGGAAGCAACGTCTGCAGCCTTTGGGAAAAGCCTGTCTGAGGGCTTTCCTAAAAAACAGCTTACTAGGACTAACATAGCCACAGTGCCACCAATCCTTTTAGTGCTGCAAGTCCTATCCCGGGAAAGGGGTTGGCAGCTGCTGGTAACATCCAGACCTTAGAGATCTGCAGACCTGTTCTGAACTGGTATCGTGTAAGGGCTCCCATTCTTTCTACAGCCAGGGAAGACGAACAAGAAGCAGGTTTCCCCCTCTTCCCCCAACACACACTATGCGAATACAAAAGGCTGTAGCTATCTTTGTGTTACCTAAGAAGGATGACTCTTGCACTCCTGTGGCTGCAGATGTCTTACATCTTGGCCAGCATAACTTTTGACTTGAGTAGGAAAAACTGTCTCCACTTTCAAGTCACACTAATTAAAAAAAGTTTCACTGCACAGTTCCCTCTCTGCGTAACAGTCACCATCTCAAGTCAAGCTAGAGATCGACGTGAGGCTGATACAGAGGAACAGAATAAAGGCACAGACCAGCAGAGACTGAATTAGAAGCCACTGAACTGCCTTTCCATATCTTTTTGACAGCCAGAAGGGAATTATATCAGGGAGGTCAGATTCTAAACATACTCTTCACACCAGAAGTCTTCCTCTCTCCTCTAGAACTCATTTACATCTACTAGAACAAGTGCTTTCCCCCTTTCTTTTATCTAAAGGGTGTGAACTGAGCAGACAACACAATCCAATTTTCAGATAGTCTGCCTGTTTTTCTTACCTCTGCTTTCCGAGAGGAAATCATGTACTACAAAACAAAATAAACAAAAAGCCAAACCAGCAACTGCAATGCAAACCAGTAGAGCTTAAGGGCGATTCAAGAGGGGCACTGAAAAGGGAGCAGAGAATTCAACAACTCTGAAGACCATTAGCACCCTCAGCAGGTATGAGGCCACAGTCTCATTCACTCCAACCTGGCTACTCATCCACCAGGTTCTTTAGGCACAAATGCTGGCAGAGCAGCAGAACTTCCAGCACTAATTAACTTTCCCCCTGAGGAGCTTCCACAGCAAGCTGGTAGTAAGTGAAGACAGAACTCCCTGCAGACTAGTTGGCTACAGTATATCCTATTATGCAGCCAGGCATAGACCACAATGACCTTTTCCGCTAAAGAGAAAAACACTTTTCCGTATGACAATTCAGCATCTGGAACAGATTCAACACATCACACTGCCCTCAAAGAAACAGACCAAGACTGCTGAAGAGAAGCAACCAGCAAAGCCAGTATGCAAGGACAGATGGCAAAAGATGACATTCTCCAAAATCCTTCCTTCCATTTGCTTCACATGAGGAATGCCAAGGAAGCTGACACAGTCTGCACTTGTGCATACTCCATGTGACCTCCTCGGGGATGCCTGGCAGCCATAACCTTGCCTTGGGAAATTACCTTCACTCAGTGCTGCGACTTGCACTTGCTTACACATAAGCTCTATACATTTCTTAGGTAAGCAATTAAGATTAGTTCATTGCAAGTAACTAACAACAATAGGATAGAGAAATCCCCTGAACAGAAAACAGTCAAAGACCAGGAGAACAGTAAGGGGAGTATATTGTCATGTGTGTGGTTGCCTTGCTTTTCTTATTCTCTACGCATTTGCTTGTAATCACTACTGGAGATTACTGGGCTAGAAGGACTCCTGGCCCTTACGCGTCCCTAAAACAACCCAGGCCGTGTACTGCCCCAGCAGACCATGGAGAGAGAGGGAGAAGCTAAGCATGCCTAGAAGCGACAACTGCACATAACAAACGCCAGACCTTACCGTAGGTGACCATAAGTAGCACGAAGTTGGCATTGCGGAACAGACGGAGGATTGATTGCATGTAGGAATACTCCTCTGTCAGTCTTGACTGGACCAAGGCCTGAGCTTGGCTTGGAGGGTGCAGAGGCTTCTCCTTGAAGACTGAAACCAGACACAAAGCACACATGTTTATAGCAGCGCAATCAGGGAGCCTGTAGCCATTTGAGGTATGGCAGAGGAGCTAGTAAAACCAAGTGTACAAAACACACCATTATCATTAAGCTTTGATCTCCATACACAAATTTATCCAGCAGTAGCAGAGAACAGGGTCTTTCAAATAGTAACCCCTGCCACTGGGAAAATACCCTGCCTTCAAGTAGCTTTCTGTGTAGGCAATGCCTGGCAGCAACAAAAGAGCTCAGGACTAATGATGCCTTTGTCTCTAGGAGGATGGCCAGCCAGCAGCTAGTGTTGCGTGGAGTTACAAAAGCGTAAGTGAAATGGGAAAAGCAGCTGGCAAAGGTGGCCTGGTGCCCTGCAGTGCCCAGGGCCTGCAGAGCAATGACCTATGCCAGGTTTTATTTCAGGCCTGGCACTTCTTAGGCTGCCCTAGCTATCTGCTGTCTGTAACTAGCAATAAAGTAGCATCCAGAAATCCCAGCCACAGGTCATACTGCTGTACCAGGCACTAGACAGCCGTTTTTGTACCTTGCCTATTCCTTGCCCCAGATTCTTTAAAGCCTACATCTGATTCACCCACCAGGCAAGAGGAACAAGCTGGCAGGAAAAGCCTAAAACAACCCAAAACATGGATTTTATCAGACAAGTTCTGCTCTCCAGTGAGTGTGCCAGTCTTTCACGCCACAGTTTTGGCTTCCATGTCACATGCTAACCAGGGAAGTTGCACCTCTGGTGTCCTGATACTGCTCTTAAAGCCTCCTTCTCTCCACTCACAACTGGTTACCTTTTTTTCTCCTGGGAACAGCTTGCTCCAGTGATAACATATAACCTGACTCTTCCTCCCTTCCCTTTAGAGGTAGTTAGGTCCAAGACACAAACCCAAGTCCCAGCACCCTGTTTTGCAGGCAAGATGATCTGTGAACCTCAGAAGATTTCTGTTATCTTTCGACGGACTTAACACGTGCCAGGGTTTTATTATGCAGGCAAAGGATAAATTTAACAATTTGGCAGGTGCTCCCAGAACTTCTTGTACTCCCTTCTACATGTGCTGTTCATCAAGGGCTTCAAGCTGCATGATATGCTATTGTATGACCCTGTCAGCTGTTTGCTAGGACACATCCCAAGATAACCTCCTCAGCCCACTTCCTAGCACACAGGTCCCTCACACACAGGCTGATCTTCTCAGTCCCACCTAGTTTTATTATGCCACCTCCTCACCTATGACGACCAAGATGAATAGGGCTGTTGCTACACCTGCAGTCATGAAGAACATGATGCTGATGTGGTAGGCCAGCTTCTCTGCATCATCCACATTGGGAACCAGAACTGGAGGGACCAGAAAGCCCACAGCGATGCCAAGCTGAGCAGGAGAGGAGACAAAGAGAGGTGTGACATGGAACAACAACACTGCCACCATCCCACAGCTCAGCCCCCTGATGCCCACTAAGGACTCGACTGAGCCTAATCCAATTTCACAAACAAGGTGAAAATCTTTAGCATCCAACAGTTAAGAGATAAAAGCCAGCTACCCATTGCAATTAGGCCATGAGAGGTCCCCCCACTGCACTCACAGCTGTCTGGATATTCAAGGCAAGGTTTTACAATAGAATTGAGCAGAATAACTACCCACTCCTATCGAAGTAGAGGTCTTGCTTCCCCTGTCCTCCCATCCACACATGTTCCTGTTCACACACACATCCCACCCCTTATTTTGCACCTGTTCTGGTGCTGGCCTGATGACCTGGGAATCCAGCTTTGCTCATTAAAAATGGCAGAAAACAAGACCATCAAGGCACACCACAATTATTTGCTGTGTTAATGAGTTGAACCAAATTATTTTCCAGTGAGAGAAGCGCAGGGGCCTAGAACAGAAACCTGCCTACTCCTAATGAGTGAGATACTCATCTGGCACAAACACTTTATGACAGTTTCCTAATGAGTCCCCTCCTTAGACAAGGCTCAGGCTATGACCACTAGAAGAACCCAGAAAAACAAGGTTGAGAGCAAAGGAAGTGTTGATGGCACGTATCCTAAACGTCAAGGTTGCGTGACAGGGCTTGGCAACTGTCCCTGGATAAAATGCTTGGCTCTGAAGGGCTCCAAGAAGACACCCTGCAGCTCTAGCCTCTCCTGTACAGAGCCACACAGGTGCAGCTGAGGGGCTCCTGCAGTGACTGCACACACTTCAGTGAGGACATTAGAGTTTTTTAACTCCATAACTATTTCTCCAGGACAGTGAAAAGGAGCTGTAGCAGCACAGACTGCCACACCAGTAACTGCAACTGATAGTGGCACCCTCAAATAGGAGAGGGAGGAAATAGTCACTTTGGTGCTTAGGAGCACACCTCACAAAGGGGGAGCCAAAGTGCACTCAGTACACTCCTGAGTACTCTAAACACAAGAGGTGCCTATAAATGCCACTTTCTCCCCTTCGTGTTGCAGCGGTTTTGGCTGAGCTCCAATCACTGTTTGGTTCTCAAGCATATTTACCTGTTCTGGCCCTTCCCAGCACCTGCAGCCCTCTCGAACATCAGAGAAAGAGCCACACTCGAGCTCAGCTCTTGCTTGCTCTCAAGGCTCTGCACGCATTTGGGGCAAAAGCAGTTTTTTGTTTTGGCAGCACCCTCATTTTTGCTATTTCCCAATTTAAGCCTATATTGGCTGTTGCGGATATTGACAAGGCACACACAGGATCCTCCAATAGATGAAAGGACTGAGAAAGCACCCAAGAGAGAGATGCCAAGTGGCCATGCAGCTGTTCTCATACTTGCTTGAAAGAGATTTCCAATCTCTTTTGCAGGTTGTACCATTTGCCTGGAGACAGGAAAGCACCAACAGTACCAGAACAGTGCTAACTTAACCAATACAGACCAACAGCATAAAAAAAATCCCACCCACAGTGGTTATTCAGCTACACCAATACAGCCTTTATAGAGCCACTCCCCTCATCACAGTAAGAGTGGAGGTAGAAGGTACGCAAAACATAGACATGAGGATATAGTCAAATTAAGCCCACTGAACTTACTGTTTCTTTATAGGAAACATTAGATCAATAGGAATCAATTAGCACCACCACGACCTATTGTCCCTGTATAATGGACTGTTTATGCCTCACTAACAACTGAACGTCAGCAAGATAGTACCACTAGCCAACTGCTGCCCTGCAGGATTCTGCAGTGCTCCCTGTATTAACAGTCCCTGGAAAGGGTCTATTACTCCACAGGTACGGAAAGCAAGGACTAAAAAAGGCAAGGACTATCCCACCCATAAACTACATCCAAACATGTCAGCATACAGAGCAGAATGACCCAGGAGCCCCTTAACCCAAGCAAGAGCCCAGACATACTGCTGCATTCTAGCAAAAACTCCTTGTGCTTTCTTCATGCTTTCTCTGACATATTTCCATGTTTCTGGGATGCCGATGGAATCATTTTAGAAGACCCACTCACTGTCCAGGATCAAGACCACAGAACAAATATATTTCAGGTGCCATATCTGGTAGCAGTGATAAAAATCAGCCTGTGCTGTTCAGCCCCAGAAAACTCCACAAACTCCCTCTTCCTCTACCTAGCTGGTGGATTTCTGAGACAGGAAGAACACTTGGTTCAGTCAGAGCTATCTGCTAGATGCAGGCACCCTATTTAAGCTTACAAACAAGTAACTTTCAACCACATTTGGCCAAGTTTGTCTTGTGTCAAGCTGCCCTGCAGCTGGACCTGGCATAGCCTGGGTCAGGATCAGCAACAGGCATCTGTGCCAAGTTCATTTTTGGTGCTGGGTCATCACAGGCAGCCAGTTGGAAGTCACCAGTCGATTATAGATGTGCCCCATAGGTTCAGGGCATTGTCAGGAATGAAAACATTCAGGGTTGGCCCCAGCAACCATACTAACAGAAGTTACATTTTATATTTCAGAACAACCGGCATCATTAATTCTATGACGATGAGGCCCCTTGACTTGACTAAAACTTAAGATTTCCTGCAGGGTACTCATAGACCCTGGATTAGTCATACTGTTTTTAGCAATAAAGATAACCTCTCAAAACCACGATGAATATTATACAGCCTTACCTTTCACAAGGAAATTTTTAGCCTGGTTCACCATCAGCCCAACAGCCAACACTGTAACTGGTTAACCAGAAAATTTAAGCATGCCTTTATAAAGGACAAGTAACTTTTCTCCCTTCTCCACACCTCTCATGTCCAGGCTGGGAAAATAAAGCAATGTAAAAATAAGGATGGCTCTGCAACAATCTGTGCTACCCTCCTTACAGAGATCATAGGTCATTAGGGCTCACAGTGCAGTCCCTCTCACCAGCATACAAATTAGCATCTCCAACCTTTGTACAGGCAGAAAGTCTCCAAGACCTATACAGATAGGCTCCAGTTACCCAAACCTGACATAGCATATAGCATCCCCACTCCCAAAGCACAGACCATTGCCCTGATCTCTGTGAATCTCTTCTCAGGAACCAGACTGGTACTTTATTTTAAGGTAATTCTTAAACTGAATACCAGGGAAATCAACAACTACAGAAGAGCACACTGGTCAGATGACTTATTATTTAAAGACTGATAAAGCATAGAAGGAATGTATTTCCTACCTGAATTTTTGTCAGGAACCAGTCCCAACAATATCATATGCAAGATTCAAGCGTATACAAGAACAGGCAACAAAACCAAGAGCAAGTGGCTAATAAGATGGTATAAATGTACCAAAAGTCTTGAAATGGAAAATGGGATGTGTCATTTAAATTTAGCTGTTTGTATACTAAGAGTCTGCTGAAGGAAGATAATCAGTGCAGTATCAGCATAAAAACTGTAAATGCATGATCAATGGAGGAGTGGGTCTTCACCTTAAAGAAAACTAAGAGTCAGCAACAAGAATACAAAAGCCTTGTCAAATTCCCTAAGTAAGCACAAATACTGACAGAGAAGGCCACCAAACCCAGAAGATCAATTAAAGTGTTAAAAAATAGAAAGAGAGAGATGCTGCAAGGGCAGAAAAAATACAACAGTGAGAAATTCTGAGAATGCCCTTGCAGGCTAAATAAGCGTCATGACAGGGATAATGCAGAGACTGCAGTTTTGGATTCCATAAATACTCTTTTCTGATAAGAACCTTTAAGAGGCAGCACAACTTGTGATTTAGACCTAAAACAGCACAGTGTGACCATGCTCAGTATTACAGAATGGTTCTGCATGGCACTCAAATTCAGCTTCCTTGCAGCAGCAGCAAAGAAAATCCTCAGTCTCCAGAGAACTATGGCAAAATTCAACTCAAGAGGGAGCTGCCTAAAAGGAAAGGAGCTTTGTTGAAGGGTAATTAAAAAGAAAAAAAAAAAGTAAAATTAAATGCTTGCAAGTGGCATTACGACTGTGTAAAGACACTACATCAGAGGTGCAATGTAAGCCTACAGAATATAGCAAAAGGTCTTAGAACACCTTTACAAACTAAGTCAAACCTCTTCAAAAAGCAAAATCAGGAAGCCTGTCAGGAAGGCTGTAAGGCCAAAAGATGATCACTATGAGAAGTTTCCACATAAACTGAACCTCTTCACACTGCGAAAATCTGAAGCACTATAAATGGAAGATCTTAATTTATTTCAACTAATTTCTTCTATGAGGCATCAGGACCAGATGGTCAAGATCAAGTCAACAGAAAGCCCCCACTGCTTGCACTCAAACACACCAAACTGCTATCTCCACTGATATCAAATATTCAAATCAGAAATGGAGGAAAAGAGATCTGAATTTTTAAGAGGCTGAGCACAGGCAGGCATCCGAGGAAACCCTCAGAGCCAGAAGGCCTGGGGTTGGCCAAATGGGCAGAAACTGTAGAAAACAAAAAGCTGACATTTACACATTGTTACCAATACAAAAGGCTTTTCAGACACTATGATTTCAACAATCTCAGCAAGTTCCCAAGCCAAGACTTCGGAGAGTTAAGAGGACACACTCTTTTTAGTGTTTTTCCCTTAGCAGTTATCACTGATTGGCATGGAGCTGCTTGACAAATTGGGCCTGACCTAAGACAGATGCTTCTCTGGTGGGATGCATTTGCAAAGGCTTTTGGGGGAAAACAAAAAAATAAAATTAAATTCAATAAAATCAAGGGCTTCACCTGCTCTCAGCAAAGGGAGTTCATTGCAGTTGTCAACACAGCACTGGAGCTACTCTACTTGTCCACTCCCATAAAAACGACCTTTAACAGGGCCCACACTCCTTCTGAACTGGGTATCAATCAAACAGACATCACTCACACCCCCACCCCAGGATCAGCCCAGAGAACAGAAACAGGAGAATCTAGCTACCTACCACAGACCTCTCTTCGAGGGACATTTGTGCAACTCTAAATCAA